ACGGTCTCCTTAAAGATGAAGAAGAGACTCGAGGCAACGTAAAGCTCTGCTCGATTTGCGTGCCAACTAAGGGATACTATTGAATGCATGGTCAACCGTAAAAGGATGAACACAAATGCGATTTACAGGTTGGGGACACTAAAATCAATCACGTGAGTGAAATTTAAATACCCTGGAATAGTTCTGACGCTGAATGTGCGACGCTGAGATCCGATTGGATGGCCAAAGACACATTCCAAAAGCTAGGAGGGATAGTAAAAAGGCAAAAAATTCTATGAACTACAAAGGATAGTGTTATACCATAATACCTATTCTATTGTAATAGACTCTCCAACAGATAATAAGTAGTAGTAGCAGTGGCAAGTTGGGCTCAGTGGTGTTGAGTGAGTCAGTCGATGTCGGACATTGTAGTATCAACCATCACAACTAGATTGCTGCGTCATTAACTCTTATTTCAAGTTCCTAACGTTTTGCACGTCGAACCTAATTTAGGACGACTTACTGAAATACAAGCCTCCACTGTGAAAACTACTCTACAACAGATAGGAAGTAGTGGAGAGCCAAGATCTCTCGCATACTGATAGTACACGACGTATAGAAGTGTAACTCGAGGGATGAACATAATGAAGACGGTATTAGAAATTTTAGGAAACTTGTAGCCGCTTAGTTTTGATCAACAACTAATGTAAACATGCAAATTCATGAAATATTCAAGTCTTCCATATTTTCTAGACGTACGTACTTTCAATCCCCGCAGAAAAAGTGACAGTCAATAGACCCCTGATTGCCGGCCACCCTTCTAATCACGCACGACCAAACCTTGCTTCTGTCATAAATTATCACCCAAAGCACCAACAGATAATCCTATTTAATTCAGTTAAAGCTCTTTTGGGGGCGTTTATTCGCTCACAGCACCATAAAAAGCCCGACTTCGAGCCAGTAACGAATATATATATATATATTTTTTTTTCTTTTTCATATTTTGTTCACATTAAAAAAGAAAGAAGGAAAAGAATCGTTGACAAACTGACGGTTCTGCCCTCTCACGGCCAAACTGCCGCTTGAAATAATTTATCCGCCATTGCTGTAATCCAGAAATATAGATTTATGGACCTTTTTTTCTCGCTTGGATTAATTCAGAAATTTCCAGGAGCTTGGGAAGCCATTCGAAATTAATCCGGTTTCAAATGAATGTAGATACGTAAACTTCTATGCATTGTATTATATATATATATATATATATATATATATATATATATATATATATATATATATATATATAAAAATGAATGTGAATTGTAGATACTGCTCGTATTAGCTTGGCGTGAAAATGCCTGGGGAAATAGAAGTAGTTATGGCGATATGTCTGCTTGGATGCGTGAGCTTCTATGCATTGTATAATATATATATATATATATATATATATATATATATATATATATATATATATATATATATATATATATATATTTTAAATAAGAGTAAGAACAGATGGTGTAAATATCCACAGTTCGTAGCATTTTTTTTAAAAGTGCTCAATAGAGCAAAATATTATTATAACATTTTTATTATAATAAATTACAATAAAAACATTTTACATCGCTACGCAAATACTTTCATGTTTCGGCACTAAGTTAGTACTTCATCAGGTGATGGTAGATAACTAACGATCTAACGTCGCCGGATGAGGTACCATCTGAGTACAGAAATATTATTATATTAAAAATGTTATAAATATCTCTTCCTCTTTTTATATATATATATATATATATATATATATATATATATATATATATATATATATATATAGGCCTCTGTTTGCAAGGTTTTGAGGAGCATGGAACTACCTCTTTATTGCTGTTGATTACAAGTTCACCCTCAGCCAGGGTGATAGCACCAGTTAGGGTCCCAGCTATGAGCAAATAATGAACCCCCCACCCCCGATATTTCTAGTAAAAATACAAGCAATACATTTTTATATAAAAATAACCAACAATGACAATTTATGGTAAAATGACCAACAGTGCACGAATACTAAAAAATTGTAGCAACTTCATGCAAATCTATTTAGAATACGAGCAATCAACATGAAAGAACTCTTTCATGAAATTAGTACATATAATATCATACAATTTCTTTAATAAAACTGTATTCCAAAATATAACTTCTATAAAACTACAAGATAAAACATGCATAAGACCGGCGCTAGTAATTATGTCCAGGCAAACATGTATATCTGTCTCTATTTCTGAGACGAGGTATTATGTACACTATTTACATTATTTGGACTATTGTCCTCATCTTTGTCGCCATATTTATTAAAACGTTTCGGCCTTTCAGTATCTTTCTATATTTCTGAGATGAGGTATTATGTACACTATTTACATTATTCGGACTATTGTCCTCATCTATGTCGCCATATTTATTTCAACGTTTCGGCCCTTCAGTATCTGTCTATATTTCTGAGATGAGGTATTATGTACACTATTTACATTATTCGGACTATTGTCCTCATCTTTGTTGCCATATTTATTACAACGTTTTGGCCTTTCAGTATCTGTCTATATTTCTGAGATGAGGTATTATGTACACTATTTACATTATTCGGACTATTGTCCTCATCTACGTCGCCATATTTATTTCAACGTTTCGGCATTTCAGTATCTGTCTATATTTCTGAGATGAGGTATTATGTACACTATTTACATTATTCGGACTATTGTCCTCATCTTTGTTGCCATATTTATTACAACGTTTTGGCCTTTCAGTATCTGTCTATATTTCTGAGATGAGGTATTATGTACACTATTTACATTATTCGGACTATTGTCCTCATCTTTGTTGGCATATTTATCACAACGTTTCGGCCTTCTTTATCCACTGTGCCATATCTCCTTAAGGACATATGGCAGAGTGGATAAAGACGTTGGTTAGATTCAGTGGCAGGACCCAAAGAGTTGTGAGTTCAATACCCGGTTAAGGCAGTTGAGAACTTGGAAAGGGGAATTAAATGGAGATAAATGATACCTGACATCCTTTAAACATGGCACGAATAATGGATAACAATGAAGAAATCCGAAGAGAATTTGCATCGGAGCTACTGGGAATCAACTTAAATAAAAAAATAAAAAATGCTATCCTATTTACGTTATTCGGACTATTGTCCTCATCTTTGTTGGCATATTTATCACAACATTTCGGCTGTTGTACGCTCCGGCCTTCTCCGGGTGGTTGGAATATCGAACTGAACCTTTTATTTCGCTCGCTGGGGTAGACTGTTCTATTTCCACATGCCATGTCTAATGTATGTCAGTTATCAGTTATCTCTTGTTAATTCCCTTCTCCAAGATCACCATCGCCTTATCCAGGTATTGAACTCACACTCTTTGAGTCCTGTCACTGGACCTAACTAACGCTTTTATACACTGTGACATGTGTCCTTGACATTCCAACCATCTGAAGAAGGCCGAAGCGTACAACTGCCGAGACGTTGTGATAAATGTGCCAACAAAGATGAGGACAATAGTCCAAATAATGTAAACATGTATATGCACAAAATCTGAGTATCATCTACCATGTGTTCAACTGTGAAAGTGGAATAACATCTATCATATTTTTATTACTTCAAACCACTCAAGAAAATTAAATTTCACTATTAAATGATCGATAAGGAGATGATATGCCGTTATACATGCACATCAATCATTCTATGCTCCATGTTGCCTTGTGCCAGACTAAGATAAGCTTATTAAATATTAAAGAGTAATCTCTTAAATATCAAAAAACATTAGAGAATTGGACAAGTCTTCGTTTTTCTTGTCTATGTTTTATTTTGGAATATGTACTTTTTTATGGAATATAAACAATGTCACGTTCTGTTTGTCTGTTCACCTGTCTGTCTGTCTAAGTGTTTGGTTCCAACAACAAAAAAAATGGTCGCTGCGTCATCTGCCAAGGATGCTGGAATAAAAAAAAATAACAGCTGCATTAATGGAAACGTTTTTATTACAAACAGGAATCGAACGGCTCTTAGAATGGGCTCGCTCTTGCTGGCAATCTTCGTTCACTCCCTCAGAACCAAACACAAATGCATTTCTACATAGACGTCTAAACGCGCATGCGCGGACTTAACAGCGACTAGAGATGAGATGCGTGAAAGAGAAGAGAAGAGAGAAGGAAAAGTGAGAGAAGAAAAAGAGAGGCCTTAGCAGATAGATAGATAGATAGATAGATAGATAGATAGATAGATAGATAGATAGATAGATGTAGTAGAAGGGGGAAGCAAAGCTGAAAAATTGAGAGAGAGAGAGAAAGAGGGAGAAAGAATAAAAAATGAGAAAAAGAGAGAAAAGGCTGAGAAGACATATATATATATATATATATATATATATATAGATAGATAGATAGATAGATAGATAGATGAAGAGAAAGAAGTAGAAAAACGCCTTGAAAAATCGAAAGAAAGCGAGAGGAAGAAGAGAGATAGAGAGAAAGAGTCAAGGAAAAAGTCAGCAAAAAGAAAAGAAAACAAGAAAGAACGGAGACGAAAAAGGGAAGGATATTGAAAGAAACTAGGATTAAAAAAAGACAATGTAAAAGAAAGGAAAAATGAAGTGAATAAAAAAAATGAAAGAAAAGTGGTGTTGGACAAATAAAGATCATTTAAGAAAGAGCCAGAAAAAGTTAAAAAGGAAATTCAAAAAAGAAAAAAAAAAAAAGAAAAATCAGAGAATTAAGAATGAAAAATAAAAGGTCCAAAGAAAAAAAATAAAATAAAAATTTTGAAAGAGTAAGAAAAGAAAAATAGATAGAGGAAAAAAAAAAAAAAGAAAGGAATGATTTAAAGAAAAACAAAATAAAAAAGTACGCAGTCAAAAATCAACAAAAAGAATGAAAAAAAAATAGAAAAAGAAATAAAGAAAAAAAATAATCGGCAATAAATGAAGACAAAAAGAAAAAGAAACAGAGAAGAGGGAATTAGAAAAAGAAAAAGTAAGTGGTTAAAAATAAAGGAAAGGAGCGAAAAAAAGAAAGAATGAAAGCGAGAGAGAGAGAGAGAGTGAGAGAGAGAGAGAAAGAAAGAAAGAGAGAGAGAGAAAGAAAGAAAGAAAGAAAGGAAGAAGAGGAAATAAAAACAAAATAAAAAGTAAGCTGTTAAAAATAATGGAAAAGAGAAAAAAGAAAGAGAGAAAGAAAGAATGAAAGAAAGAAAGAAAGGAACACGAGGAAATAAAAACAATAAAAAGTAAGCGGTTAAAAATAAAGAAAAAGAGAGAAAAAGAAAGAAATAAAGAAAGTGAAAGAAAGAAAGAAAGAAAGAAAGAAAGAAAGAAAGAAGCGGAGTAAACTCTGAATGTTATACAAGTGTAAAGAAAGAAAAAGAAGGAAAGAAAGAAAGAAAGGAAGACGAGGTAATAAAAACAAAATAAAAAGTAAGCGGTTAAAAATAAAGAAAAAGAGAGAAAAAGAAAGAAATAAAGAAAGTGAAAGAAAGAAAGAAAGAAAGAAAGAAAGAAGCGGAGTAAACTCTGAATGTTATACAAGTGTAAAGAAAGAAAGAAGGAAAGAAAGAAAGAAAGGAAGACGAGGTAATAAAAACAAAATAAAAAGTAAGCGGTTAAAAATAAAGAAAAAGAGAGAAAAAGAAAGAAATAAAGAAAGTGAAAGAAAGAAAGAAAGAAAGAAAGAAAGAAGCGGAGTAAACTCTGAATGTTATACAAGTGTAAAGAAAGAAAGAAGGAAAGAAAGAAAGAAAGGAAAACGAGGTAATAAAAACAAAATAAAAAGTAAGCGGTTAAAAATAAAGAAAAAGAGAGAAAAAGAAAGAAAGAAAGAAAGTGAAAGAAAGAAAGAAAGAAAGAAAGAAAGAAAGAAAGAAAGAAAGAAAGAAAGAAGCGGAGTAAACTCTGAATGTTATACAAGTGAAAAGAAAGAAAGAAGGAAAGAAAGAAAGAAAGGAAGACGAGGTAATAAAAACAAAATAAAAAGTAAGCGGTTAAAAATAAAGAAAAAGAGAGAAAAAGAAAGAAATAAAGAAAGTGAAAGAAAGAAAGAAAGAAAGAAAGAAAGAAAGAAGAGGAGTAAACTCTGAATGTTATACAAGTGTAAAGAAAGAAAGAAGGAAAGAAAGAAAGAAAGGAAGACGAGGTAATAAAAACAAAATAAAAAGTAAACGATTAAAAATAAAGGAAAAGGGGGAAAAAGAAAGAAAGAAAGAAAATGAAAAGAGAAGAAAAATTTCAGAAAAGAAGAAAAAGAGATTGAAAGAGAAAAGAATTAACAGAAAGAAAACCTGAAAGCGATAAAAAAGGAGAGGAATTTTTAAAAAAAATGAGAGAAAAACGAAAGCTGCAAAGAAAAGAAGTGAAAATTATTGAAAAGAAGTAAAAGAAAACAAAAAGAAGAAAAGGAATCAAAATGGAAAAAAAAAATAAAGATATAAAAAAGAAATTTAATGAGAAGAATGTAATGGAGAAGGAAACGGAAAAGAAAGAATGGTGTTTGTGAATCAAGGACTCAAAATGGTAAACTCCGAACGACAAGAAAAATCAACAAATGCGAAAAATGCGATCGGTGTAAATTAATATTTCATTGAAAATGGCGACTGGTCTGCCGAAAGTTCGTTTGCACTTAAGAAACAGACGGGAATAACAGTTTCTTTTCAAACTCAAATAACAGACCACAAGAAGAGAAGTGATTATGGCAGCGTAATTGAAGAACGAGATGAGGGTGTATAGTTTAATCTGACGCAAGGCCACGACTATGGAATAAATCATTGAAGATTCAAATCACGGCATTACCAATTCATCCATGGAGTCCACACTTTTATAAAACTATTTCAGTTCTTCTTCGTGACGCCATTTTAGGACATAGGTGATCATGCCTCTCCACAACTTCGTTTCTTTTACCGCTGTTAACAGTGTTTGTTATTTTACATTTTGCCATCCCCCCTCCTTGTTTTGCCATTCGTTTACACTTAGCAGACTTCTCGTTGTTTTCCTTTGTTCTGGTTCTATTCTATATGTCTTGTGAGTGTCAAATTTTCTGAGCCGTTTTTTCTCATTATGCGTCTTAGAAATTTCAACCGTCTGATTTTAAGAATAATTCTACCTTTTTGTTTCCGTTTTCCTTAAAATTTTCCTCGTTGCATACACGCTTATCCTAACGTATTCTCAGCTTCCTTCTGTAGCAGCACCTCTTTGTTTCCTCAAGTCTCTTCTTCATTAGTTAGGAAATTGTCCAGCATTCACTGCCGTACAAGAGGATGGGTATTAAATAACAGTTCAGCACTCTTTTATTTCTAACGAAATTCTCATGTTTTTATTTTTTTTAAGATTTCGTTTAGTTTTTTGTTAAGGAATCATTTGCTATTTCAGGAGACCTTAAGATTCCGGTTTCACAGTTTTCGTAAACTTCATTACAAATTCGTTAAAACTCAACCTTTTTTTTCCTCTAGAATTTAGTATTTTTAGCCCAAGATTTCACTCAGAATTAAGGTGAAGTCTTTGAAATTAATGTAGAGGAAACTAAATCTATCAATTAAAACACATAGAAAGTGTTAAGCCAAGAAATAAGGTACAATCTACAAAAATTGGTTAAAATTGGACAAAGTAACGCCATTTATTTAAATTCTAGTCACATAAATTTATGTTCATATCTATCTATCTATCTATCTCAATCTGTTCATATCTATCTATATATCCATCTATCTATCTTTTCCCATTTTCAAATGATTATCATGGCTGTTACCAAAACTATGCTTCATGTTATATCTTGAAGTGTTCTGAGGAAGGAATGAACACTTTGACAAAATTCCAACGGAGCGATTACCATGATTTCTTCTATCCAACATTAGCTATCGGCAGAATTCACTCGTCAGTTGCAAAGGAAAAGAATCAACTCAAGTGGCCATATATCGAATCACGATGATTCCCACCTCCACCCAACCATGCACCCTTACAAGACAGAAGTCTACAGTGACAGCATTAGGAGACTATCGATATATATACATATCTTTTTCTCAAAACGAGAACGTAGATTTATTGTACGTCTTGAACAGCAGTTATACGAGAAAGGAGGACCCTTATAAATATTGCCAAGGCTAAAATATCTGAATTGAGTGAATGAAATACATACATATATATATATATATATATATATATATATATATATATATATATATATATATATATATATATATATTTTTGCTTAAATTGCACGTTTTGAATTTAAAAGTAAGAAGTTATTGTCGATAAATATTCTTTATTCTTTATCTCTTTGAGTCAAAATTATTTACATATATATATATATATATATATATATAATCATGTCACCACGAGCAAGGCAATAAAGCCACTAAGACACAAGGGGAGTTACTGAATATTAGAGGATAAGAGAAAAAGAAAAGTTCAGTAAGTGAAAGAGAAGAATAAAAGAAAAGGAACTACGGAGTCAGAAGATGACGATTGACATTACATTTAAACTTTTGAAGATGAACGTTGGCTGGAAAGCAAGTAGACGAAAAAGATTTCCGCGAGTGAGAAGTGCGAGTGAAGAAACTGTTAGCACAGAACTTGCGGTTACATCTAGCCATTTCAACTGCAAAATGACGAGCAAGTTACATTACGACGATGAGAAAGTGACTGATACAGAGATATCTGGTCAGGACCAATGACATTGTAGATCAATGATTTCCAAGGTGGCCCAAGTGGATTTCTAGTGGCCCACAGTGAAATCGCAGCTACAAAAAATTGTAGCCATTTCTTTCCCTACATCATTTCTTTCGCGACCACATGGATGGTGGAATCTGGATTTTGGGTTGTTGTGAATGTTTCCATTAGAAGAAGAAATAAATAAGACCTCAACAGCAGAGAAACTTTCAGACTAAGACTGATCATTGATTATGATATCTTGTGTCATAAACACCAAGATCAAGGTAGTCACTAACTGAATAGACTAAGACTGAATGACATCATCAAAATTGATTATGATATCTTGTGTCAGAAACACCAAGATCAAGGTAGTCATTAGCTGAATGGGCTAAGACTGAATGACATCATCAAAATTGATTATGATATCTTGTGTCATAAACACGAAGATCAAGGTAGTCATAAGCTGAATGGACTAAGACTGAATGACATCATCAAAATTGATTATGATATATTGTGTCAGAAACACCAAGATCAATGTAGTCATTAGCTGAATAGACTAAGACTGAATGACATCATCAAAATTGATTATGATATCTTGTGTCATAAACACCAAGATCAATGTAGTCATTAGCTGAATGGACTAAGACTGAATGACATCATCAAAATTGATTATGATATCTTGTGTCAGAAACATCAAGATCAAGGTAGTCACTAGCTGAATGGAATAAGATTGAATGACATCATCAAAATTGATTATGATATCTTGTGTCATAAACACCAAGATCAAGGTAGTCATTAGCTGAATAGACTAAGACTGAATGACACCATCAAAATTGATTATGATATCTTGTGTCATAAACACCAAGATCAATGTAGTCATTAGCTGAATGGACTAAGACTGAATGACATCATCAAAATTGATTAAGATATCTTGTGTCATAAACATCAAGATCAAGGTAGTCACTAGCTGAATGGACTAAGACTGAATGACATCATCAAAATTGATTATGATATCTTGTGTCATAAACACCAAGATCAATGTAGTCATTAGCTGAATGCACTAAGACTGAATGACATCATCAAAATTGATTATGATATCTTGTGTCAGAAACACCAAGATCAATGTAGTCATTAGCTGAATGGACTAAGACTGAATGACATCATCAAAATTGATTATGATATCTTGTGTCATAAACACCAAGATCAAGGTAGTCATTAGCTGAATGGACTAAGACTGAATGACATCATCAAAATTGATTATGATATCTTGTGTCATAAACACCAAGATCAAGGTAGTCATTAGCTGAATGGACTAAGACTGAATGACATCATCAAAATTGATTATGATATCTTGTGTCAGAAACACCAAGATCAAGGTAGTCACTAGCTGAATGCACTGAGACTGAATGACATCATCAAAATTGATTATGATATCTTGTGTCATAAACACCAAGATCAAGGTAGTCATTAGCTGAATGGACTAAGACAGAATGACATCATCAAAATTGATTATGATATCTTGTGTCATAAACACCAAGATCAATGTAGTCATTAGCTTAATAGACTAAGACTGAATGACATCATCAAAATTGATTATGATATCTTGTGTCAGAAACACCAAGATCAAGGTAGTCACTAGCTGAATGAACTGAGACTTAATGACATCATCAAAATTGATTATGATATTTTGTGTGAGAAACACCAAGATCAATGTAGTCATTAGCTGAATGGACTAAAACTGAATAACATCATCAAAATTGATTATTATATCTTGTGTCATAAACACCAAGATCAATGTAGTCACTAGCTGAATGGACTAAGACTGAATGACATCATCAAAATTGATTATGATATCTTGTGTCATAAACACCAAGATCAATGTAGTCACTAACTGAATGGACTAAGACTGAATGACATCATCAAAATTGATTATGATATCTTGTGTCATAAACACCAAGATCAAAGTAGTCACTAGCTGAATGGACTAAGACTGAATGACATCATCAAAACTGATTATGATATCTTGTGTCAGAAACACCAAGATCAATGTAGTCACTAGCTGAATGGAATAAGATTGAATGAAATCATCAAAATTGATTATGATATCTTGTGTCATAAACACCAAGATCAATGTAGTCACTAGCTGAATGGAATAAGATTGAATGACATCATCAAAATTGATTATGATATCTTGTGTCATAAACACCAAGATCAATGTAGTCATTAGCTGAATAGACCAAGACTGAATGACATCATCAAAATTGATTATGATATCTTGTGTCATAAACACCAAGACCAATGTAGTCACTAGCTGAATGGAATAAGATTGAATGACATCATCAAAATTGATTATGATATCTTGTGTCATAAACACCAAGATCAAGGTAGTCACTAGCTGAATGGACTAAGACTGAATGACATCATCAAAACTGATTATGATATCTTGTGTCAGAAACACCAAGATCAAGGTAGTCACTAGCTGAATGGAATAAGATTGAATGACATCATCAAAATTGATTATGATATCTTGTGTCATAAACACCAAGATCAAGGTAGTCACTAGCTGAATGCACTGAGACTTAATGACATCATCAAAATTGATTATGATATCTTGTGTCAGAAACACCAAGATCAAGGTAGTCATTAGCTGAATGGACTAAGACTGAATGACATCATCAAAATTGATTATGATATCTTGTGTCAGAAACATCAAGATCAAGGTAGTCACTAGCCGAATGGACTAAGACTGAATGACATCATCAAAATTGATTATTATATCTTATGTCACAAACACCAAGATCAATGTAGTCATTAGCTGAATAGAATAAGACTGAATGACATCATCAAAATTGATTATGATATCTTGTGTCAGAAACACCAAGATCAAGGTAGTCACTAGCTGAATGCACTGAGACTTAATTACATCATCAAAATTGATTGAGATATCTTGTGTCATAAACATCAAGATCAAGGTAGTCACTAGCTGAATGGAATAAGATTGAATGACATCATCAAAATTGATTATTATATCTTGTGTCATAAACACCAAGATCAATGTAATCACTAGCTGAATGGACTAAGACTGAATGACATTATCAAAATTGATTATGATATCTTGTGTCAGA